ACTTGAAAAATAAAATACAATAATTGCTTTTTTGTATAAATTTAAGTTATTAGCATTTAAATGATATTAATTAGAAGAGCCAAACCATTTGTTTCAACTTCACCCTTAAATCAGCTGGTAAATTAAAAGGATTTTCAATTGTTTTAGGCCTCGAATTTGGGGATTCTATAGGCAGGGCCAAACGGCCTCCGGTATGACATGAGTTTGAAAGGCACCAAGGCCAAATGGAAAGGCACAAAGGCCAAAATTTCAAATATAAAAGGGCACCAAGGCAAAATTTGATTTAGCCTCAGTACTAATCTCTCGCGAGTGCCTTGATTCATACGTAGCCAGGCTAGACCTAGCCATCATTGTCAATGGTAAAATGACTTTGTTTAAATTATTAACTATTAAATATCGATTCAATTTTGGAATATACTTTTATTTGGCGATCGTAAACAAAACAGTCAAAGTTCAAGAAGTTCAATATCTGATGTTGTTGCTCAGTGCATCGTCATCGGAGAGGAGGCCTCATCTCTAAACTGGCCCGTGGCCGTCATGATCCAACTAGATTAGCCGAGTGTTAACCAATTAGGTTAATTTCACATGTTTGAGCTGCGATGACGATCGCCTAAAGTTAGCTGCACAGCTGCAGCATGCAAGCACAGTACATGTTTACTGAAATTACCGCTCAAGTCAGACGCATGCCCACATAACGGTAACCGCAAAAACAGTTCATATCAACACACATAGAAATTCTCTTGTTCTGTCACTGCAACCTTATCTAGGCCTAGGCTAGCCTAGGCGACCTACGTTTTTGGCTTTCATGTTTTCTTTCAAGATTTGAACGTTCTTGTTTAGATTTATTTTACGTGTCAAACGATATATATTGAGTGTTGTGAGGGCACCGAAGCCAAGGCTGCAAAAGGGCAGGGAAGTAGTGGCTGTCGTCGTGCTTCATTTACAGGGGAACCAAGGCCAACCGGGAGGGCGCCGTCGGCAATGGCCGCGGTGGCCGTGGTAAAATTCGAGGCCTGTTGTTTTATATTTTAGGAACTTTGGATGGGCTTCTTTTCGAGATTACTTTTGCAAAATAATGAGAGGGCTTCTTTTCAAAATGAATGCTGTAAATATTTGGAATTGCTACTATAGCATTTTGCAACTATGAACTTCAAAATTCTGTTTAATATTTTTTTACTTGTAATCCATGCTAGTACAATAAAATAATATTGATACTGACACGCTATCATAATCATCAAAGATAATGTCAGTCTGAATGTAGTACTATCTAAAAAAAAACCCCATACTATCTTGATTAGAAGCCCATGGGCTTCTTTTCGAGATGGCATCTTTTCTAGATTACTCTTGAAAACTAAAGAAGGGGTGGAGGTTTCTTTTCGAGATAAGATTCTTAAGATTAAGGCCATTAGGCTTTTATTCTAGGTTATTATGGTAGTTGTAAGTCCAGAGCCACCCAAAATGGACTTGTAGATCCAGAACCATCCAATAAATGGACTACTGTATATCATTGTGAGGAGTTGGATGTGGTGAGATACAGTACTGGATACATAAAACTGCTAGTGTCAATCAAGTATTAAATATTACTGGTTGGCTTTATTCATATTAGTTTATGTACTATAAAATTTAATTATTTATTTTAATGTTTTCCAATACTGTGTTAATGGCCTGAAGAAAATTATTGATTTATTGTATGATGTTCTACTGTACGAAATACTATACATTTGTTAAAGGATAAGATGTAAATAGATATGAATTTCTTCAGTTCTGTCAATATAGCAGACATTTCTCTTTGTATTAAGCTTATTGTCGTCAGGATCTTTCATGAAAAGGATGCAGTTTGGAGTCTTGGGTGGCGTATTGGGTACAGTATATATAGTATGGAAAGGGCAATCATAATTTTTGCTGCGAAGCAGCCAATTCATATTCTTGACAGCAATTTGACCTCTGAAAGATCATTATTTGTCAAAAAACACGGGCCTAAGACGACTAAAAAACGGAGTTTCGTTCTGCCGGGTAAAATCAATTACTTTAGGCGACGTTTGTAGACTAACCAACACGTACCAACGTCCGCATGTCGCGCTAGCCTTATCCTACTCTAGGCCTAGACTAGCTAGGATGGTATAGGNNNTTGAAGGGACGAAGGTCCCAATGAAAAACAACGTCGCTCCTTGATAGCTAACATTGTCTATTTAACATCACAATAATTCATTATTAGACCTATAGCTGTTTTTTGAATTGTACTCCACAAATCTCAGCCGATACCTCACCCAATCTAGTAACGTCTCGTATATATTGTCGTGACGTCATGGCTCGCTGGCTCAAACTTGCGACGCCTCGCACTTGTGATCAAATAACACGCTGGCTCGCACTTTAGCAACACTCTTTGGCAGTCAACTCGCCCCTAGAAAACACGCCCTTGGAAACTTGCCCCATAAAAAAATATACACTTTTTAGACCATGCAGTCTTCAAAATAAAAATTGTAACCTTTGGTAATCAACTACATTTTCCACATACATATAAATTTTTGAAACTTTAACCTAAAAAAACATAAACCTTAATTCACCACTATAGACACTTTTTGACAAAAATGAAAAATTACGACTTTGTTACCCAATGAGAAGTGTTCTAATATAGACAATGGGTCGTGTCTCATATTATTTGTTATATTTTTATTATTCATTATTTTCACTTGACTCGCATAAATAATTTTGTTCGAAGAACATATATGCAGTTGTACTTCGCAGCACTTCACTGGCAATTTGCAATTTCTAGTTTAATCATTAATTTGGAATGAGGTGTTTAAGCTGATGGTTCTGTGTGCAATATGGCCCATGTTGTGTGTTAAAAAAATGTAGTTGCACTCCAGCAAATTGTTGTAGGGGATTATGCAATTGACTACCAGCAGTAGAGCCCTCTGAAAACTCCAATCTAATCCAATGTCTTCATAGTTTCATACATTTTACTAATTAGATTGATAGTTGCAGTAGAAATCACTGTATAAATGCAGATCAATCATAATTAGTACTATTAAACTTTGAATGAAATAAACAATATAGACATTAAACAGTTGAAACAAATTGAATTTCCTGTTCCATTTGTTTAAATCCTTTAAAATGATGGACATCTAAAGGTTGAAGGTCGTCCCTGGTTGAAGGATATCTTGTGGTCAGTTGTCTGTTAATTATTATAGGATGAGTTAAGGTGCTTCACCCTATCTCATTGTAAAATCTCTTATACTAAAAAATTCTTTCCTCTCTTGTCCTAGTTTGCTTTCAACTTTACTCTGCTTAAACTAAACTCTTGACTCATTATAGCACACACACACATACCTATATCAAGACCAGGTTGAGATAAACCTCTACTAGTAATCGTGTGTGCATTCATGCGTGTCTGTTGTAGGTGTAAACACCTGTGAGTATGGTAGTAAAAGGGGTCCTTTAAACATCTGGAAAATCAGAAGTGTTCGTAAGACTTAGAATTAGGTAAGGTGGTGCATAAATTCTTATTGTGTACTGTAGTATAAAATTGTTACTGAGGATTCTTATTTTTGACATTCTCTTCAAATAATTATCGCGCTTGTAATAAAATTCACTATTTGCAATGACTGGAAAATATATTAGACCTTGTGATTATGAAATTATGACACATAGTATTATAAATTAGATATATACAGTGGTATAGAAGACATTGTATTATTGCTGCGAAGCAGCCAATTCATATTCTTGACAGCAATTTGTTTGTCAAAAAAAAAATGGCCTAAGAAAAAGGAAAAGCGGAGTTTTCTTCTTTCGTTCTGCCGGGTAAAATCAATTACTTCAGGCGACGTTTGTAGACTAACCTACTCGTACCAACGTCCGCATGTCGCGACGCTGGAGTACTATTCAGCGTTTTTACTATATTTCTAGGTTTCCTATTTCTACGTTTAATCGGCTCATGTCTCAGCCACAATATTTTGAGGCCAATATTATTCAGTTAAACTCAGTTAAACTTATATACTAGCCTATTTCAACGTGCTAATTATTACATTTAGGCGACGCTTGTTGTAGACTGGCATAGTGTTTTCGGAAATAAATACCATTTTATACACATGCGCAGATCGATTCGCCAGCAGCGAGTCATCGCCAGCAGCAGCGAGTCGCCAGCAGAGAGATGTCACTGCAGCAAAACACTATTGTACACGGTACCAATGCTGTTCTAATATAGACAATGGGTCGTGCTCATATTATTTGTTATATTTTTATTATTTATTATTTTCACTTGACTCGCATAAATAATTTTGTTCGGAGAACATTTTATGCAATTGTACTTCGCAGCACTTCACTTGCAATTTGCAATTTCTGGTTTAATAAAACTTGTTTGTTATATTTCCTTTACTTTTAATACTCAAAGGTCTAATAAAGTCTTAGATTTAAAGAAAAAAAGGTCTAATAAAGTCTTAGATTAAAAAAAAAACAGTCTAAAGCCAATACACTCAAGGAACACATTATATTGTTATTCAAGGTTGTGGAATAATGTACCATGGCACATAACGCTGTAGGCTTTTATTTGAAATATTCAAGCTTTATTGCTAGCCATTTGTTACGAGGCACGTATTTGCTTCTCCGTCCGCACATCTATGTACCGGCAGGCATGATTGGCTAAGATTCCAATAGAGGAGCATGATGGACAGTAGATAGTGGCTGTGTCATAGGGGGCTTGATATCCCCATCGTTAAGACCAACTAAAAATTGCAAACTTTTTTTTCTATATTTTTCAATTGTTTTTCCCATTTGTTCTTATATAATAATAATAATAATAATAATAATAATAATAATAATAGTGGCATCTTGTAAGGTGCACATATCCATCTCAGAGAGCTGCTCGCAGCTCAGAACAGCATAAATGCCCAAAATTCCACAACTTTTATTCAGCTGCCCATACTATGTAGATACCTTCTTCAAACACTTGATGCAAAAGTGGTGGCAACAAACAATTAAATATCTGTTTCTTGAACTTTCAGATCATGGGTAACAACCAGGGACAATTGAAGTCATCAAGATTTGAAGCTGCTCTGCACATGTCCATTGAGCAGTCGCTGCGCTCCAACAATGCAACACCCCAACCAGTATTCTCGCAGCTATATCTAGAAAAAGGTAGACATGGATCGTTATTGTCGTGTTGACATTTTTGTTGTAGACATTTATTTCCTACCATAATCTGATACAACAGTACAAGCATAATTGAGAATATACTCTGTGTTGGTCTATGATCTTGAAAATTATGAGCTACTGCTTTAGAAAAACAACAGTATGTAGATGAGGGCAGGAATATTGCACCCAGGCGAATAAGTAGGTACCTGGTAGGTTCGAATACCAATGCGCTGATTACTGTTCTAACAGTATATTGCTAAAGCAACATTTTGGCCTTCTCCAGAATGTGTTCAATAAATGATAAATCCAATAATATTATTGGTAATACAGTCAACTCTCCCAATACCGACCACCCAGAAAACCGGATTTCACGCAAAACCGGTCGTTTTTTAAAGTCCCAAAATCATTCCTATTCTTAGTGTATTAAAATACTTTCTGAAAAAAGGATTTCCCAATTCCGAATTCCGGCCAAATTCTTAAGTCCGGAACAATAAAATTACCGTCTGAAAACCGGACGGCCAGTTTAAAACGATGATTTATTGACGAAATATGTTAAATAAATCATCGGAGACACATCGACTGGCTCCAAATAACAACTATCAATCACAGAACAACACCACATGTACCATCGTTAGTGTTGATCGTGTGACACGCCGATAGCGCATTAATTAATTAATTGCAATAAGCCTAGATTTCATTTGTTTAATAAACTGATTGTTTAATAAAGTTCATGAGAGTGTGTTTTCTTTATTAAGGAACGTATCCTTTTCTTACATTTTGCATTCATTCTCACGCTAAGGCAAACCAAGCGGTCCCACGCTATCGATTTCATAAAAACAAATGCGCATGACACTTTGACTGTCACCTCTGACTGTTTTCTATTGGCTGACGCAGTTTAGGGGGCGCTGCATAAGTTAGCACTTATTTTTTGCATTTAGCGACCCAACAAGCTAAGGTTATGCCAGCGGCATCGAAAACCAATCAAGCGTGCAACCACGTTGAAGCGAAGCAGATTATGGCTATCGAACGAAAAATAACACTGACACTTATTATAAATTACGATACACATTAAGTTGATTTGTGTAAATTTTTATTAATAATAGACTTCGACACAAAAAAATAGGTACGTACAACATAATGTAAAAATAAAGTAAAACATGAATTTTAAATGACGTTCTCAGGTCAGTAGGCCTACACAGTACATGATGCAGTGTGGTGTACCTTTCTGCTGTACCTTGCTAGGCCTAGGCTTATTATTGACTCAAGGTCGGGGAACCAAGGTAGGTAAACATGACTTTCTCTAAACCGGTCCGTCCGGAAAACTGGTCAAAGTGGACGGTCCGAAGGGTGGTCGGTATTGGGAGAGTTGACTGTAATTTGAAACTTTATTGGCATAATGCACTAAAAGAGATTTAACATGTTATTTTATAAAAATACAGTATTTGGGGACACCGTCTGAAACAGGCATTTAGAATTAATCTTCCTTTCTGCTTTCCATGTTTAATTGAATATTTGTTTTTTGTCATAGGTGTAGATGTTACTATTTTTTTTGTAAGTTGCCTATGGAAGGCAATACATTTTACTTGTATGAATATTATGCATTTTCTTCATGTTAATGAAAAGATCAGGGCAAAGGTCATACCTCATCAGGATGTCATCACATGTTTACATTCCGTGACTAGTGATCTCACACATATGTAATGCCAAAAAAGAAAACTAAGTATATTCAGGGAAAAAAACCTCAATGCATTAAAAATCTGTTTCTCTACTCAAAAGCTATGTGTGAACAAGCAGATCTGTTACCTTATTTGTAAACGTGTAATAGATATAGTACCATTCCCAGTCAGGGAATCTTCATACGTGAATGTTACATGCGTGATCATTCCACACCTGCAAATTTATGTGCAAACAGCTGACAAAAAACGAACCATCACAGTGATTGATGTATAGAGATTATATTGATGTATGTATAGTGTAACATATTAGTAATTATGGCCTCGTCCTTCTCGTAAACTGTTTGGTCACGAGGAGGCTTATATGGATCATTTCACTTGTCCTGTTCAAACGTCATGTTATTTGATAATGCAAATTACTTTAACGAATGTATTTATTCATTCTATGTATTGTTATTATAGTTTTTCACCTCACTGGGTATCAAGTGCTAATCCAATTCATTTCTGTAAGGCCAATATTAAAGTTGAACTAGAGGCCATTGGTCATGTTTCTTAATGTCCATACTTGTTCATGAAATACTTATCAAATCTATACTAAAACCTATGAATTATATTATTTCTAATTGCATGTCAAGTCTACATGTACAAGTTCATATTTGTTCATTGTTTATGTATTCATTAAATTAATATACTGATAACATTACTAGTAAGTCTACATGTATTACAAATATTTACTAATTACAAAATTATACTTTTAAGTTACGTTTCTCCATTTTGATTGTGCAGATGTAAAACCAAAAGTTCGCGAGTTAAATGTGAGACCAAGTAACGATGGCCGTCAGGAAAGAGACAGGGCCTCGATTAGCCCAAGAGCAATACAAGATGTACGTACCCATCCCGAGCACAGGTCGAGATCATCTGAACCAAGTACACCTGTGTCAACCTCGCCCAGGCTTCCACATCCATCGCAGATACGCCATCCGGTTCCCTCTAAGGTTCATGCACCGGTAGTCATCCCTTCCCACCGCATTCCTCCACACCCTTCTGTTACTCACCAACCTCTTCCTCCTGCTCCTTTGGTTATGAGTAGGGCAGGCCCACCTCAGATCATTCCAAGACATAATCCAGCAGATCATGTACCAACTCCATCCTCAATGGCTGGCATGATACCGAAACAGATGTCACCCAGACCTCCAGCGGATGAGCTTGTTCAGTATAGGAGGGAGTACATAGATGGATCGGGTATGCTATATAACAGCCTTACAATGCATGGTTGTCAAGAAGTTGGTAAGTAATTACAAAATGCAAAAGCTGTCAATATTTAAATAAAAAAATATTGTACCAATGTATAGTGTATTAGTATAGTATATATATAGTAAGCCATAAACCCTATTATAGAATAAAACCTATGTTTTATCAGAATTCCATGCTCACTATATTTTACGTTATCTTGTCTTCTGTGGTACAAGCCTATCTCTTCATACTCAACCCAATTTCTTGTTAAAGAGGATAGACTTAATACTAAGGAACTATGGCAATGTTGAGTGTTATAAAACAACCTATATAGTACCTTGTTTAATTACAATTTAAAAAATGTATAATTTTTGTTTTAATTTTTAGGGTTCTGTCAGGCTGGTGCAGATATTCGCCTAACAGAGCTGACAGAAAAATCTATTGATCTTCCGAAAGGTTTCATTCTGGTTGGGACTAAGTCACCATACTTACCTGAGAATATCGTGGTAGCTGCTGTTGATGCTAGGTTCTTGCCTGATCCTAACACAAATCTAGCTCTACTGGGTAGGTTACTTTTCATTGATATTACCTTTTTCCAGGTCTATATTACCTTTTTCCATTTGTTTATTTGATATGCCTACTAATATTAGTAAAAATGTTATATAACTTATTTAAAGTTAGCACACCACTGAAAATTTAAAGTAACATACAGTTTATAACTATGATTAACACAAATTAGAAGCCGTCGTTAGTGATGGTGATAGAATGCCTACTTTCTCATGGCGTATCTTATATTCATTTAATACACTTTGGTCAAACCTTTAACACTATTGATCCATATATTTTTTTTGCTAAAAATACTTATATTTTCTGAAAGCAATTTAAATAATAATAATACAAAGACTAGGAATTATATTACTGAAATATCCTTTATTTGGGAAGAAATGTTCTTTCTCATTTAAAGTTGAAAAAAAACAATATTCAAGTTTACATGGCAGTATATCTTGAACATCTGGAATAATCTAAATCTTTATCGTCCGTAAATGAAAATAAGTTTTTAACTTGCAGTTACTTTTTTTTTATAGGGTTCAGTGGTAACTGTGTCGGTTGTGGTGAGAAAGGATTTCGCTATTTCACAGAATTCTCTCACCATATTAACCTGAAGTTGACAACACAAGCTAAAAAACAGAAACACCTGAAGTATTACATAGTGAAGAACAAACAAGGACAGTTAGTACGAGGCCCAAATATACCATGGAAAGGTTAGTGATATTACACTTGAGAATGTTGTGATGTACATTGGTACGTTGACATTAGTAGCAATATCGTAGGTCATACGTTGGTCATGTGATTACATTAGCCAATGACAAAATGAGTGATAATTCTGTCATTTGGCTAATTTGATCATATACCTAATATGTGCCATACAATCAAATTGGGGAGTATCAAGATGAGTGGTCTTCCTATTGAATTTTACTATGTTGGTCATGTGATTAAATTAGCCAATTACAGGATGAGTGATATCTTGTCATTGTTTTTTTTTTTTTATCATAACCACTGTGTGCCATATGATCAAATTAGGGAATGACAAGATGAGTAATCATCTTGTTGGATTTGGCATATGTTGGTCATGTGATTAAATTAGCCAATGACAGGATAAGTGATACCTTGTCATTGATTTTTTTTTTATCATAAAACCACTGCCATATGATCAAATTAGGGAATGACAAGATGAGTGATCATATGTTGGATTTGGCATAATGTTTGTCATGTGATCAAATTAAGTGATTTTCATGGATATGTCCTATGCTAGTTGCGTGATCAAATTTGTCGGTGATGAAATGAGCGATCTTCTGGATGTGCCGTATGTTGGTCCTGCAGTTACTTAGCCAATGACTGAATGTGTTAGCTTTTTGATGGATGCTGCATGCATTGACCATGTGATAATTTAGCTAATGCCATGGTAAATTAGCTGAGCGATTGCCAAGAGGTAAACTTGTTCTGCTTCAGTTTAAACCATACCTGCGTGGAATCAGATCCCTCAGCTCCTTGATTAACCTGCATACGAAAGTTAGGTGGGATAAGGGATACTTGTTATACTTCTACAAAAGAAGTATAGGAAAAGAGATCTTGCTGCTGTATGTGGCATATGCAAGTCATGTGATTAAATTAGCCAATGAAATACAGGTTATGTGCTAGATCTACCGTATTAAATTCAATTACCAATGACAGGATGGATGATCTTCTGCTGGATGTGGCATATATTCTATGTAATTAAATAGAAGTGGCAGGACTAGTGATATTCCTGTTGTATTTAATTAACCATTGGCAGGATAATTGATCTTCCTGCTAGATGTAGCATGATATTGAAATATCAACTGATAGGATGATTGCTTTGTCTACTTGATGTGGCATGTCCTGTTCATTGTGGTTGATGTAGCAAATGAAAAAAAGAATTAACTTACGGTTCAATTGACATGTGTTGGTAATGTAATCATTGGCTGATCTTGGGAAGAGTGATCTTACTGGATGGGATGTGCATTGACAGAGGTACCAATTTGGAAGAATTCACTTAGGGAGGTCTGGTTAATTAAGCTTTTTTAACCCATCTAATTTTATTTGGCCACCCACGGTGATATCAATCGGCCCTGACTTGACACGAGGCAATTGATAATGAAATAATATAAACGTGCAGTTTTTATAAATTTGCGGGCGATTGGTTATTTTCCGGGAGATTCTTGCTTGAATACACGAGGCTGCCCCGATTTTTGGGAGACTCCTGTGACTTGCTGGTGGCTTCGGACCACTGCATCATCATGTCATCTTGGGATCAGGTTTTATGCCTATTTGTTATAAACTTGTAGCGTATAGATCACACTGTAATATGCTTTTTTCAATTTAGCACTTGAATGATCTAACCTATGCTTAATAGCATTGCAAAAAGGAAAATCGCAATTCATTCACTCTCCAAATCCAGTGAGGAAAGATTCGTGAAAAGAATGCATGGTCATCATTAAAAATCTACAACAAATATATACCTGTACAAACATTTCTTAACTTGCAGAATGCATTAAAAATCTACAACAAATATATACCTGTACAAACATTTCTTAACTTGCAGAATGTCGGAAGAGGAGTTATTCTTCATCAGGTATGGGATATATCAGTAGCTCACCTAATGTCACCATCGGTAACCAAACGTCAGGTGAGTTCAAATGTCATTTTGTTTTTCTTATCCAATCACAATGTTAGAGAGAACATCAGTCTGTATCATGGAGTGTAATAACTAACATGAAGTCACCTAAACTACTGAATAAACCAAGTGTGTTTTTTATTGTTTATTTCTGTTTCTTTGAAATTCTTGTTCAGTGTATGGGTTGTATAATCTCAAAAAGAATCCTATATTATCTTGAAAATAATCCTACATGGACCTCTTTTTGAGATTACTTTTGCAAACTGAATAGGGGGATTTCAAGATGGGCTTCTCAAGATTAAGCACACAGGGTTCTATTCCAGGTTTCATGGTATTTTGTTAATTTTAATTTTAAAAAACCTGTTAAATGCTTAATATGTTAAACCAAAGATGATTATATAGAAGATGATTTTTTAAAATTTTAATCTATAGACTTTAACTAAAACATTAACATACCAAAACTGCTACAAATGAATTCTTCTTACAAAAAATGTATTTAATATGTATTTCAAAACATTTTCTGCATTATTGGGTACAGTAGATATGACTGGATATACAAGTCATGATTCATGATATAAATCCTTCATGTAATTTAATGAGAACTTGCTTGCATAAATTTGGATCTTTCTCTAGTTATTGTTTCAAGATCATTAGCCAGCCAATCATCAGCCATTAGCTACCGCAGCAGTCACTACCCCAGGTCGTCACCCTCGACAACCATTAACCATTATGCCATCGGATTGAAGTGCGAGAGTAACTCCCCGATGGGCCAATTGTGTCAGGAGAAACGAGGCGCATCGCCAAGTGAAACAGGTTCGGCGCAACAGCCTTTGAAGAAAAGACATCGATTTCATAATATGGATGGAGACCGCCCTCATGTTATTCGACCAGGTGATCAATCAAAATTGGTTGGCCTTCATATTGTATTTTAAAGGAAAGATGAAGAAGCAGAAAACAATAAAGTTTAATAAATAATAATAAGTTGTTATAGATTTCTAAATACCATGTACAGTATGAAAACGGTCAATGTCATAAATTCTTGTTATATTTGTTATATAGTCTTACATTAATGAAATAGATATTGTGTTCTCTAATATTAAGTGGATACCTTAGTTAAATATATAAGTACCGCAGGTCTTCTGGTATAAGCCATCCGAGTATAATCTATGTCACTATAGCCAAGATCTATATAGCATTTTGACTATACGCCTACTATTAAATCATATTAGTTTGTTCTTTATAATGGATGTGTGTATGAGTGTCCATTATTGTGAAATAAAAAAAAAAAAACATTTTTTTTATGTTTCAGAGCCAATTTCACCTAAACACCTAGCATCACACAGTTTGCATCCACCAAACTTTGTCCCTCCCCCCGTTACCAGTAGTATGCAGGACACATGTTTCGTACCGCCAGGCTTAGCCGAAGCCTGTGGTGGTCGTGTGATCATTCTCACGTGCAGCGGGCCGACACCGCTTTTCCATGGTAACGTAATGGACATCATGCTGAGCCCGATCTTTAGAGATTGTCTGAAGACTTCGCAGCAGATCCCACACAGTGTGGTAGAGAGTCTTGGATTAATAGGGATGCAGAACATGAATCTTGAAACTATGGTTCTCGTCATGGTTCAGTACCTCGTACAATTAGGTCAGTTCACTTGTAATTCTTCATTAAATTGCCATTCAGACTTTTATTGTTTGTTTTATGTTTTACCTATATTTATACTTTTATGCTTGTTTTTAAAATATATACATGCTGAACCTCTAACCTATATTTGGCTTTTGCATGTAATTGTTATTCATTAAATACAATCAATTTTTGTCTATCCTTCTATGCTGTTTAAAATATGAACATGCTGATCTTTCTGTTCTGTGATTGGCTGTATAATGCTTCCTTATATTCAAGGTACACATTTAGTTACTGTTTGTTTTGATTATGATTAAAGATGTCACATTGCCACTTTAATTCATCTTTTTTTCAGTTCTCCTTATTTCATGTCTATTAGTCATGGTTGACTGTGAACAATGTGCCGATGTCATAATATTTTATTAATTACAGTTTTCTCACCAATTTGCCACAAAAATGAAATAAATTAATATGTTTTCTAAAATTTGTTTTATCTTAATATTGAGTAATTCTATACCATATTAAACCTTATGTTAATTCAATAATAATATTTTGCATTGCATTTGTCTATATGTTAATTTTGGTTGAGTTTTGTATATCGCATTAATTATTCATTTTTCGCAAATATTTGTGTGTTTTAGTTCATCTTTACCAAGATAAGTGTCCTATTTGCACACACTATACATTATTGATATGTTGACAATATTACCACATCTAGCCTTTGAGAATTGTATTATTGTTAAAAAAACTATGGCCAGTGAGAAAAAAATATTTGTTTACTGTCTGTCTGATCTGAAAGAAAATAGAGTGGGCAGGTAAAGCATATTGAGTGGGAAGGTAAAGAACATACGAGTGGGTGTGAAAGTGAATTTATACATAGTGACTTGTGTACATCCTACACAATTATGTTTGGAAACATGTTTTATTGCATTTTGATGTTAATTTGATAATACATTAATTCATAGATTATTATAAAGTTATAAAGAATCTGATGTTAAATATTTTATTGTATACGTATGCATACTTACTGAAGAACATTAGTAGGTCTATTTATGAGAACAGTAACAGTTTGTAGCTTGTATTCCTCAAGCGTAGTAGCTATTCTATAATTGTATATATTTGTACATTTATTTGTCTGGTGAAATCTTAAACTCCCAGAATTAAGTTAAAAAAATTGTTCATTTGAAAAGAACATCCCATAAGAAAATATCAACTTATAATATGATACAATTCGAAACAATTTTTTCTTAAATTACCCAACAGCCAATTTAGGGTCTATGCGAAGAATTTAGAAACTGTATTATTTATACATCTCTTTATTGGAATATTTAATGTTTTTTAGGTTAACTTACCAGAGATAGCATTTTAAGTAATTGTAGATATTATTTTATAAATAACAAATTATATTACTGTATTATTAAAATTATTTAATTACTAAATAGGTGAAGAAGCACCAAGTTGCGAGGAGTTTGAACTTGCACTGCTGAGGGCCAGGCAGGAAACAGTTATCAAGGACCTAAATAACCAGCATAATATGCCACAATTCACCACGGTTGCACCTCTGCAATTACCGTTGCTTGCTAAACTTGCCGTCACAGGATCTAGTGGTAGAGTCAGCGTTCATGTTGCTCAAGTAGGTTATATTATTTTTGCTGTTATTGTATACTTTCCCTTATATTTTTGCTCAAAATCCAATTGTGATTAGTACTCACTGTTCACAAGTTCAAAATGGCCAATCAAAATCATGAATTGAAATGCAACATCCAATCAGTTTCATATTCGAAAACAACATTCATTCAAAATCTGGAATGCGCTTCATACAAATTCTGAATGGTTTGTATTGTTTACTTTTCCAATTTACATTCACTCTTTGTTTTCTGTTATATGTTTTTTTCAAAATTTTTGTGTTCATTTAAATTTCTTTTTTTTTTAAATTGTAGACAGGAATAGCTGATGGTCTTGCAGAGACTTTGAAATTACTACAGAAACCTTCACAAACAGCACAACGCCCTCTATACACCCTAATTATACATGTTTCCAGAATGAGAGGAACAGAATTCTGTATTGTTGTATCAGGTTTGTAGATTCAAATTTTCAATGTCATAACTGGGTACTGAGTTAAATGTTTTTGGTACTTATATAGCATCTTTTAAGAGCAGAATAGCATAGTAATATCTAGTGTGTTTAAAAAAAAAAATTATATTTATTTTGCAAAGATACCAAATTGTAGATTAGCATGTCAGTTGCCAATGTTATTGAGTATTCATCGACAGTATTGATATCTAGTGATAATTCCTTTTTCATAAGTAATAATAAAGAAAGAAAATGTTAGAATATACTATAGACATGTCAAGCAGGTAAATCCCATTTGAAATTAATTAAATGAACTCACAAAATTAATACCAAAGTAAAGAAAGTAAGTTTGTTTTATTTAGGTTCCAAACAAACAAGGTCATTGACGGAAGCACGTTTGACGGTAGCTGAGACTTTCAAAGAGATTAGCTATGAAATAATCACGGGCAAAATACAACTTCTGACCAATCACTTCAAGAAGAATAACATAGGTGAGTAATAGGTTAAACAGATTATCCAGTCAGATGTACAGGCTTGAATTTATTTAGCACCCAATTAAAGAGTCTCATGATACTAAAAAGCTGGTTTTCCACCAATCAAAGCGTCGGTTTGCTTCCTGAGCTCTGATTGGTTGAGCACGCATGCGCATGTACTGACACTTTCGATTCGCGCGAATGAATTCGCATAGTGGAGAACCGGCTTTATATCCGATTATATTTACTCGACTAATACAGCATCCAATCATACAATTACTAACTCAACATACATTTAGATTTTCATTTTTAAACTAAGCATCCAATCTGGTTGCAATCTCTGCCATCAGTAAAATGTATGGATGTATCCTGCTATGAAGACTTGTGCAATAATGTCTTACAGATGTAAACAAAAATGTACAACACAAAAAAAAACCAAAATGTAAATGATTAAAATGATACATTATTTTTGTTTCAACATATTTAGCATCAGAAGATTTGGACGTTCTTCTTGAGAAGTTTTCTGCGAGGCAAGACAAAGTACTGCTACCATTCAACGGTGACAAACTTTGTAGGATTGATCCTTCATCTGTTACTACAATGAAAAGCTCCATCAGTAAAGGTTCTTCACAATTCCTTCTTTTTACTATAAGTTGGTTTTATTAAGATGAATATAACTATTTTTTCCGGTCGAACAGTAGTCAATTTGTCTGAAGAAGAGACCATATTGTCTGATGAGATGTCTGAAACTTGGTAGAATAGAATAGACTTTACCATGTGGTCAACCGACAAGTTTTAAGAAAGTATGAAGCAAGCAATTTTATTCACTATATTATTTGTTCAAACTTTATATTGAAATATGTAGATAATTTATATAATTGGGCATAACATTGATTGCTGCCTATTAGTAATGTTTTTGTTTGATTATCATCATCATCATCATTATTATTATCATTAGACTGTGTTCAAGAGACAGAGCTTCTGACACCAGTCCAGATTGCTGTTGCAATGAGAATCCTGTCCCAAGTGTGTGCAATAGCCGACTCGGACCATTTGGCTCTGGATCTTGGTCGCTTTACTCAAGTTGAGCTTCATGTTATTCTACCAGCTTCAAATGTGCTTTACCATCAAGTCATAAGAAACTTGGTTCAATCAAGTAAGTAGGTTGAAATATAAAAAGTGAGTATGTGCTATAATTATATCAAGGTTGGCTTAAGCCAGGTACTGCTTGCGCCCGACATTCACAACGCCACAGTGCCCAGTATGACTGTCGTATGATGCGGTAAGTTCCCAGCTTTAGGTGTTGAAGGAGACAATTGTTAAAATTTTTATGGAAAATTATTTTAATTTGAATAGCAAAAAGTGGTTAGCTTTTAGAGGCAAATAAAGAGCAGGTATTTGAAGAGGAGAATATAAGTTTTGGAATTACAATGCCATAATTTTGTATGTCAAATTTCAAGGTTTTGTAGGATGCGATTTCAACTTAATGAAAGCATATACACATTGAAAATTATCTAAATTATGAAAATTATACTTCTCCTGTTGTAGACTTGTTGTCTGATCTTGAGCTTGCCAATGACGTGACTGCTAAAGTAGCAGAGAAGTTTGTCATAAAGTGTGATGCCACGGCTGGAATGAAAGAACGATTTGAAACGCTACTAAAAAATGTTAAAGAATCACCATATACACTGTTTGTGGTCGTGCACGAACAAGCACATCAGTATACACACAGGTGAGCCATCATTTTACCCCTGGACCATTACTAGAGGCCCTAGTAAGCCCCTGCCAAACTTCTTATACAGGTTGGCATATGTATGGAGTCATCATTGGTGATGCCTGTTCATTTTAAAGTTGTATCCTGATTATAAGCATACATAATTATGTTTCAACGTGTGAATCTAGATATAATTGAGACTATGATATGACATCACAGATATTAAGATGGACAATTAATGTATTAACTCATAAAAACTCTGCTTAAGAAAAGAATATTTTTATTAAAGTGGGTACTGTTTGAATTATTTAATTCAGGGCTCAGCATGGGTCAAATACAACCGGTTCAAACAGCTTTCTCCACCGTAAAGAAATGATGGATGCTCAGAATGTGTTGATGTTGCTGGTCAGCCATACACCATACAACCTACAGACGCAGCGATCGCTCATCAGTCCGCAAAACGAAATCTGTATGCCCACGTCAATGGTACAGGTAAGAAACCACCTGTGGCAGGAATGTAATAAATTCATATTGTTATCATAATTACAGTCAGAATGAATTAGGTTGGGTAAATTATAAATACATAAAATTTCTTATTTCAGTTGGCCATTCTGCCATTCTCAATTGCTGTCTGGCACTATGCAGAAAAAAAAAATGAAAGGTTTTCACTACACTACACCTGATGATTGATTGGGCGAAAACTCATGAAATTTAAATTTTTTTCAGTCATGATAATGCTACAAATTATTTTCTCTACTTGTATTTGTATTTACTTACATATTGACTCAAAAACTCTTGCATTCCTTTAAAGATGTTAACAATTGTGAACTTGATATAGTTTGTATTTGTTTTTTAAATATTGTTTGTTATCTTTCCTAGCCTGGTGTAGAACCAGAACAAATATACTTTGGCTTGGAGCAACTGAAAGCCACTTTGGAGTGGAGTAATGAAACTCCTCATTTACAGACAGACGAATGCTTTGAAACAATAGCTACTGAGCTGTGTAGGAGGTAATTCAGTTCCAAAAAATATTATTTATTAGTTTTCAGTTATTACTGATTACATATTTTTCATCTACGTAGCACTCTGTTTGGAAAATGGTTGTAAATAAACAGACGGCTTCCCGACTAACATTAATAAACCCTTATTCAAATTGGAAAAAATAAAAATTAGCCGATTTTAATTAAATATAATATATTTGTAAAAAAATTGATAGTTTTAAAATAGTAGTGGTTTAATCATTAATCACCAGATATCCCAAGTTACACAGTAGTGTGGTACGGACATACCTTCTAGTCCGGCAATATTCTGCTGCCTTGATGTCCCTGTCGGGAATTCCAAGCCTAAGCACCTGCTCAACGGCTACAACGCTGAAAATGGTGCAAGATGTGGTCACAGAGCCCATGAGCAGCACTTGCGGATTGGGACCTTCTATCATACTCCGTGTTCAGTCGCCGCAGCTTGCTATTTTGGCGCATGATAAATTGCGCACAGTTCGTGACAAGATGGGTCTGCAGTTCCGTCTGGATATATTGCTGTGTAGTGGTGACCAGGAAGTCATTCTGGATAATTACTTTCTGAAGCATCTCCAGGTTTGTTACATTGGTTTATTAGCCTTCACAGAGAATTTATCTTGGACTCTATTTTAGATTAATAATATTTGGTTTCATTTGGTTGTGTTTGTTACATTTGCTGAAATCTAAGTTATAAGGCCAAAAAAAATTAATTGTTTGTTTGCCCTTCTTTTTAAAAAAATGATAGAGACGGGTGGAAAAAGTACTTTTTTTTTTATTTATTTTTTTTTTTTAAGTACTCATCAGATGGAATGAAAACAACCAAAAGAGGCTTAAGAGTGGCAATATCTTACATCAGACAACAACTTCGGACTAATTTGTAGGGCATTTGACAAAAAATAAAGAAAAATTCACTCGCATTTTTTTTTTTAATTTGTAAAGAAAAAAGCTCAAAAAAACTCTTAAAAAAAATTTTTTTTTTTCTGCCCCTATTTTTTCCAGTGAGTTAGGGGCGGGTGAAGAAGGAGAGCAAACAAACAATTTTTTTTTGGCCTAATAATGGTTCAATCTTGATGGAGTGCATTTTGCTACAGCCTCAATGCCTCAATGCACTTTACATTAGAAATAAAAATCAGGAATTAAGCAAAATATAAGTTAAAAAGATGTGTTTTGAGTAGTTTGACTGTGTTGATGTTAGTAGCTTGTTGAATTTCGGTTGTTAAATTATTCCAAAGGGCAATCAAGGCACAGAGAAATAATTGACTTCTGAAAAACTGAGTTGAATGGGTGGACAGCGTGTGTTAAAAATCTCTGAGGAGGATCTCAAGGTCTTTTAGGGGCATATAGGTGGATGAGTTCTTTAATGAAATAATGAATATTATAATAAGATGCTAAAATTAAAAATGGTCTTTAGGAGCACCATACAAGTATCTTGGGTTTCTCCATGGTGAAGCCGACTCTTGACTTTTAAGTTGGTTCGGTCAGACTTTTCTTCTAGGTCACATCACTCATTACCTCATTAGATACAGACAGCCATATACAGTATCAAGTGGGACCTCCTCAAGAAGTAGTAACAGTCCTTTAGCGCTGTAAATTTTTAAGACAAATACATTGCAGTGAAGCTTAGAATAAATGCTCTTGTTGGAATTCATTTGCAGGCTGTCAGAGGTGGGGGAAGCAGTTGGAAACCACAGACATACAGTGACCTAGACGGGTTACCATGCATCATGGTGGTCAGTGGAAAACACACATCTGGTGAAAAATACCCCAGGTAAAGTATTAAAAATCAATATATTACTATTAATTAAAGAGTCTTAATTATTGTATGTCGTTAGCTCATATTGCCTGGACCTCATCAAGTCTCTAGTGCAATATCAGGAATAACCCTGTCTCAAGCTGTAGCGGAGATCTTTAGTTGTATAGTTTTCACAAAGCCTCATAATAAATAGCTTGTACACCATCGGTGATCACTTGCACCAGATGGATCTTTCAGTTAAATAATAAAATCTGTTTCAAGGAATATAACCCTGATCGTCGTTTGTCTGTGTTGCAGATCTACTCGTTATGTTGACCTTAGGCTTGTGAACCATGGTCAGCTGAACCTAGCCAGTCTTGAAGAGGAAATGGGATTGGCCAATCGTTACATTAGTCCTGACCTCCTGAAGGAGGTCATCACCGCAGCTGAAGACAGTGATGATGAAGATGAGGAAGACGACGATGACAACGAAGGCACTATAGATTATGACATTGCAACTCCACCATCAATTCCAATTGAAGCAGCCCAGGATGATATCAGTGTCAGCGTTGAGGGCAGCAATCAGATCAAGCCAGCAGATACAACAGTACGCACGCCTGGAAAAGTTCCACATAATGATATCCCACATTCCACTACCGTACATCAAGCTCCATCACCAGGCAGATGCAAGAGCCCTCTAAGTTCTACGCAGGAGATAGAAAGCTCAGATGGATCATCCATGGTCACCAACTGTGTGTCCTCGGCCTCCAGTCCTGTACCGCATTTTAAATCAAAATCGGAGCCAGACGAGTCTAGGGAAGTTGGAAGAGAGAGCAACCAGGAAGAGGAAGGTGGGGTAGAAGAAAAGAAACCTGACAAGTTACCAACTGTAATTGTTTCCAAGACAGTGTATAACAAACTTGTCAAGGCTGAGGTATTCTTGATTAAATTCTAGTAATTGAAATAAAAGTTGGTACTTACTGATTTGATAATTGAATTTATTAATTGTGTAAACATTTTGCGTTAAAAAAAATAATTGTTTACTTCATATATGAAGATGGAGAAATTGCATGAATTTTTAGCTCCTGATCAGACTCCACACCAATTTCAAAAACTGTTCTGTGATTTTATTTCTAGGGTATACCATCAATATCAACAATACTGCCTTCAGCTGATACCTCCTGGACAAACAGTGTGAGACCACCATTAGTGACTGATACACCAGAAGCCAAGAGTGCTCATTTCCGTATGTGGACTGAACCTAACCCACATTACTATGACTTGGTAGAGCCAAAAAGTGCAACCAAGTTCCACCCACGACGATTGTTACTTTATGGTCCACCGCAGGTAGAGAAAGCATTAGTTATACTCAGTTGTGTGAATTTTGTCTAAAGGTCAACTCAGACAGCGTCGGCCGACGCAACCCGACCCGATTTGTTGTCGCGTTGGGTCTGTGTGAGTTCAACGCAGACGCGATGGTTTGCGTCGAGGGCAGTCGCGTCGTAGAATATTAAACATGTTTAATTCTCACGACGGCTTAAGACTGTCCCCGACGATAAATCACATCAGGCTGCGTCGGCCGACGCTGTCTGAGTTGGCCTTCTTAAGGCCAACTCAGAATATTAAACGTGTTTAATATTTCTCACGACGGCTTAAGGCTGTCCCCGACGATAAATCGGGTTGGGCTGCGTCGGCCGACGCTGTCTGATTTGGCCTTAAGGGTTTATGCTAATAATTATATCATTTTGTTCGTAGGAGCTTAAACAGCAGTGGAAAGAAAAGGCTGTTTTGGTTGGATTCTCAGCCTTATAGATGGCAGTTTGAATCCCAATTCAATCATTATTGAATGGCTGGATGACCATGTTAAAATAAGCTAACTTACAGTGTTGGCAGATTATGAAGTGATGCTACGTTTTTAGCCTATAGTTTCGAAATGGAAAAAATAATTTAAATCTAAAAATAGTAAAAGTAACACCTTACATACATGGGTTTCTGGGGCCTTGTTTGGGTAAAAGCAAACAATATAACTATTTCTAACTATAGAGTAAATGTTTGTCAATTAATTTTTAATAGCATGTTTGTTATAAGTGTGTTGCTAATGTACTCGTAGTAAAAGAAAACTAAGACTTATTTATTGTAAGAGTGCATTAAAATATACAGTATTTTTCTTTTGCAGGTCGGTAAAACTGGAGTGTATATACATTTTGCAAGGGTTCTGTCTCGAATGCTTGTAAGATTACAAGAAGTGGAGGTCCTCGACCAGGAGGAGATAAATGAGTCTGCTGGACAGACTACAACTTTTGATCCAGTGTCGACAAGGTGGCCAGAGTTTGAGAAGCTCAGTCAGATGCCTTTTGACCGCGACCTTCATGCTGGACACTTGAAGTATCATAGTCCACTATGGAAAAGAAATGTTCAGTTTGTTGGTAGGTGTACAACTGTTTATGTGTTCAATTAATATTTCCTTTATCTTTCATGGAGGTGTCTCTCCATTCCAAAAGTTATTAGCTATTAATAATACATTTTTTAAATGTATCATAATATTTATTTGAAAAAATTATTTATTGAATTTCAGATGGAGATGCATTTAACAAGGAAGTGAACACAACATGTACCATGCTTACAAAATACAGCGCTCACAATGCATTTCATCGATGTGAGAAGTGTCAGCAGCATATTGATGTGTCGGCATCTGAGGTAATTTTCTGAGTATTGATTTATTTTTTTGGGGGGGGGGGGTGGCCTGTTCCCCCACCCCTAGATATGCCACTGTTAACCCTTAGATACTAGTCTCCCTGTAAATATAGACCACTTTTTGGGACCAGGGTTTTTATGGTCTTCAGCAGCTTTGGTCTTTAATTAGAAACATTAGTCTTATAAAAATAAATAATTAGTCTTTATGAAAATAAATAAGTTTACTATTTAGGGATTGATTAAATCTTTTATCATTAATTTTATTAACTTACCTAGTGATTTTAAATTTGTCTATATATTTGTTTTTTTCTGTATTTGTTTTAGATTAAGCATTCTATCGTATTTTGTAAATCAGTCATTATCAATTTTATTGATGCAACTTCTTGATATTTTATGCTTGTATCGCATAACAGGACCATATGTAAAACAGGCTGGTACATCCTCCTGATATGTTATCCTGTATAAATATGTTCAATAAATAAATAAATAAATAAAAGATAGACATTCATTTGGGGCTACACAAAGGTGGTCTTTATTTGGAGGTGGGTGGCCTTTATTTGGAGGTGGGTGGCCTTTATTTGGAGGTGGTTTTTAATTGGAGGGGTATTTAATTAGAGGGAGACATGTATTTTACTATGTAACTTTGCTTTATTGGAACACTGTTCAAATCTCACCACATGTCGGCAATCCAGAGATACAAATAACATTCAATATTTCAGTTTATTTGATAATGGATAAGTGTCTGCTTCAAATACTTTTTACTAAGAATATTCTAGCAGTCCTTTTTTTCCTTTTGTTCTGTGTAGGTGAGGGATACCAAGTCACATGTATTTAACTTCAAGTCAAGTGCATTCACAGATGATTTTGAAATGCAGTTTATCATTCCACCACAACAAGTTAAGCACTTCATCTTCAATGAACAGACAAGAAGACTTCAGAGTATGAGGCTACCAACTGTAAATGACAAGGTAAGGAATTACCTGAAGAAGCTTCATGATAGGACTTGTCTGTAAATGTAGTTATATTATATATATTACAGGACTATATATACTACAAGACTTTCTGTAAAGTAGTGTCTGAAAATTCAAAACTGAAATTTTTAATTTACCATTTCAAGATTGGATCATTCTTAAAAAATATAAAATTTGTTGGAAAGAGGAAACATAATTGAACTTGTTGAAACTAATATTTGAAGGAGTGAAAGAAGAACATTTTTTCAAAGACTAAAATTAATCTGGAAAATTTGTACATTTCAATAGAGCAATAAACAATACTAAATAATCAACATCAACATGTTTTCTAGCATTAGGTTAACATGTTAAAAAATTGTGTGGATTAAAATATGGAAAAAAATCTAAAAGCAAATAGCCTATTATAAATATTTAATGTAATCTACAGGGCACATTCTAAATCAATTCTTTTTGTTCCTGTCTTTAAAATGCGCCTTAAAAATCTATCAATTGATTGATTAATCTACTTGTAATGGGACTTATTTCAATTTTGAAGGGTGGTAACATCATAAAGACACCAATATTCACCCCAACATTTGGGAGACCAGAGCAGGCGATGGTGAACCTTGTGCACGCAATGGACGATGCGTCCTATCTACAAGTGCTGGTCTGCAAACAGAAGGATGTAATGTTGTACGAGAAGCAGTGGCCGAACCGCATCATTCTTGTTTTACCTGCATTTGCAAATGAGACTGGTCCAGGTATGTAACTGTACCACATTAAGGAAACTTTTATTTCAAGATCAAACATGATTACACAGTCTATGTAGATAAAGTAACAGGCTGAAGAATGCTATCAATTTGAATTAAAAAATATAAATTTCAGATATTTGAAACAGGAAATTTTGTGTGGGCCCCTTAGGGGCCTGTGGCAGCAGCAGTGCAGTGCCAGTACCAACATGTATTAGATACATCATCTCTTATCCCACTAGACACAAACCCAGATGATAAAACTTAAAATTTAAATGACATTAAAGTGGACTATTAGCTTAGTTATTGAGATCGGGCATCAGAGCAGCACTTACTTGAGACGATCTTATTTTAAGATATTGAAATAGTTAGTCTATATTCTTTCTGATAAAAATGAAATATTTATTTTGACTCTAGGTGCAGCTAAGTTCTTCATTAAAGAGTTAGCATTCTACAATCTGCAGTTGGAAGTGTCACGACAGGAGGCCCTCGGTGTCCGTCGACAAGATGTCTGGCCCTTCATCATCATCATGGAGGATACATGTGTCACATGGCATGCTCACAACTTGTTTGAGTCACAAGAAGAGTGAGGGCGCTTTTTATTATTTATTCGGCATAATCTTATTTTTTGTATTTGTATATTGTTATTTTTGTTGATATTGGGCATTTAGAAAACACACTTCTTTGATTACAAATACCTTCAAGATAAGGTAACAAAATTAATGGATTTGTTGTCCCAAACATAAGATGTTTAGCTGATATTTTATAATAATATTTTTATTATATTTTTATTAATTATTATCAACAACAGAACTTTGACATCCTTGCGAAGTGTGCTACAGCATATTGAGGCAACCCCGAAGATTCAGAGTTACGGAATGCTGGGAGTGCGAGAGTGGAACTCGCGTTGGTCGCGAGAGCCACCGCATGAACCATTTTCAAACAGACATCTTCACAACATGGTGTTCATCAATGTTGACCTTACTCAAGGCTTGCAGTATGATCAGAACAGGTAAACAGAATCTACTTTATACAAGTTATATACACAGGATGTAATTTCTTGTTGAAGTGAAAGATGGAATTTTTCTTTGAATAAATGGAATATTCTTTACTTTATATAATCATAATGATTTAGTTTATCTTAGAGAATTAGCTTCAAATCAGTTTTCTTGTACAGTAAAACGTCCATATTATGAACGTCAATTTTACGAATAGTCGATTTTACTAATGATCTACATTCCTGATGACATCATCGTCAGCCAATTAATTCCGTAAAAAAAAAGTCTAATTGCGAACGTTTTACAATGTGATAATGTATATTTTTCTTAATAAAATAAAGTTTGTTGTATTTATTAATAGTTCAATCTTTTCTTGCATTTGTGCTATAATAATCACTATATTATGTGATAAACATAACCAGAACAATTAACTACAAACTCAAGTGTCGTCGGATTGAGCGCACATGTTTACAATGACGAATAAACAAGAGTGTTGCGGTCAAAAACTTATTGACATTGTGAATGCTAGATGATCGTGAAATGCATGTAAGCAACACAATTCGGCGATCTAAAATCTAGAAAGAACATGACAGAAAGGTCCATAAAAAATACAGATGTTTAATAAGAGTTAAAATTATATTTTGTTAAGTGTAAGAATGCCAGCGATGACACTAATTTAGTTTTTATTGAAGTTAAATTCAGCTAGGCTCTAACGCGGTAGACCACGTTGTTGCACTGTCGGTTCGTGCTAGGCCTGGCCGCCGTCAGCCTATCGGCGCTCAATGGCAGAGGATAGCTAGGCCTAGAAAACTGACACCCGATCTAGTTTAAAAATTTTTCAATTTACGAACACCCCTTGGTAAAAAGGGGTACGTAAAATAGACGTCTTACTGTATTTAGTGAAAAGTCAGTAACAAATTTGTCATACATGTACATGCAGGACTTATACAGAGATTGTACAATTTCTACAATGTTTGAATAAAATTTGAATACACAGTTAAGCTTTACCTAACTCGAATAAATTCCAAGTCCATCTTATTTTACATGGCAAATAGTAGCCTGGGTTCCAGGCCCTAATTTTAGGTTACTCACTCTTTATTGCACTTAGTGCGCGCCATACCTAATTTAATTGGCGTCCCATACTCGATTTCTTTTTTTTCGAATTAGGGCCTGGGCAAACGATTCATGCGTGCAATTTCCCACATCAAATTTGATGTGGGATATCGTATGCATGACTGATTTTGTAAATCACGTGATTGGCTAACTTCATGCATATTAATCAATCTTGGTAAATTTTCAAAATTGAAGATGCGGATGTCTCGACTAGAACAAGCTAACCACTCCCTTTTGGCTACCTATACTTGAATAAAAACAGTTAGTATATAGTTCTGGCCTGCTGAGAACGACATGGACTGATAACCGTAGGCTATACTTAGGAAACTTGCTCACCGCTAGCTGGTACACAGATTTAGGCCTTTAGAGTAGAACATTGTTAAAAAGGTAGGCCTCTGTAAGTTAGAACTTAAAAATACGCCAAGCCTCTACTAGAGTCTAGGCTAGGCCTACTACTCAGACGAGGCCTGAGCCATCCTCCTGGAAAGTTAAAGTTTTGTTGTATTTGTATGGTATGCCGTCTAGGCTTAATTGTTTTTGCCATTGCCAAAATTAGTCTTACTAGGGTCTATTCTAAATATTTTAGGCCCGTTTTATTTGGGAGGACTATTTAAATTTAGTCATGCCTAACTAGTCGACGCAAGCGGCGAGTGACTCAGTTTCGTGGCTCCAAAAATATGAACATTTGATTGGTTGAAATTGTTTATTTCGGTCCGCCCATTTATCCAAATACGGAATATAAGATTACGTCATTCTTTTGGCATCCTGGTGCCTGACTTCAGTGTTTTACAAGTCGCTTATTCCGTCTATCTCTAAATTAACTTTCTCGTTGGTGGCGCTGTCCAGAATGAGTAAAATAATTTAAAAAAAATAAGAGACTTGTGGCAAGTCTAGGCAAATAGTTGTGTTTTCCATTAATTAACGATTTGCAAGTCAAATTTTATCTAAGTCAAACAATTTTTTTAGTGGCATTTTGGATTTGACCTGGGCAAGTTCAACTGTATATATAATTTATTGCATTGTACGAATGAATATATATATATATATATATATTTGTTTTATACACCTTCATCATCATCTACTAACATAACTTTTGCCTAAAAGTTCAGGTAAAACTTCATATGTTAACTACATGATTGGACCTGTATTTACATCGGCTATTTTGCTCCCAGGGATTATCTGTGTTTGTGGGATCAAAATTTCAATTGCTGAGTATTGACCTACATTTTCTTAATTTCAACTGAAATTGTGCAGTGAAATTTGTGAATAGAACATGAAGTTATCTAAACTGTCATTAGCAATGCATTGTACTTTATTTTCATTGAATTGAAGTGTTCATTTATTCCCATGTGACATGGTTAACCAATCACATTCCAAGTATTTAAATTGGTGTTCTTAATATCCCATATTTTTATCATCATGTATGTTATTAATCACTATTACAGGTGTATGTAAATTGTGGTGTGTGTTATAAATGTCCTTTGGGATGGGTTAGTAATGTAAAGAAACATGACAGAGATATGATTGATTGGGGATGTTTGGTGGTTGCTCAAATTAATTCAGTATAGGAGTGTCAGAATTGCTGTGTGTTTAAGCCTTAATATTGCTTCTGTGTCAACACGTTGTCAGCCATTCACAATTAATAGCCTTTCACTATTGCAACCTTCAAGACTAATTTTAGTTTTTTTTTTTTTTTTTTAAACAGATACTATGACCATGATATTGACTTCAGCATGCAGGTAGGCAGTGTCGGACTTACCACATGCTGCTTCAACCACATAGGTGTCCTCATCAAACATTTGCCAGGCCCCCATGAGGAGAATGCCATGCCAAAACCCAAACTCTCCGCACTTCCCCACAACTACAAGCTAGCTCGTCCCATATCGGTGAATAACTTTGTGTGCACACCAGACAGTGAGGAGTTGATTCCATTGGTGATGCGTCCACAGCTTCTTTTGGAGAGGTTCCTCAAGGAGGCTAGTGCCGAGATGCTGTTCTTGTTGTCAGTGAAGAACCCAGAAAATCCTGTCTTGTGTGTTGATTGCTACCATAATCTTGGGTTGTCAATAGCAGGTATAAATTCAATTGTTTGATTTCTTTTTTTCCCCCTCTTTTATTAATTAATTTTAATAATCTGTGTCCAGACTATCAAATTTTATTTGACAAAAAACATGTGACATGCCTAAATATGGTTAAAATGACATATCATGACGATATATAAGCAGATCATGACTATATATGGGCATCAATGAATAATGCTTTCTTCATAATGACAGTGATGGATGGGAAAATGAATCAATAGTTTTTTGGAAAAACAACTTGTCTCCCAAAAAATAACTGAAGCTTATGTAGTATTAAGTGAAAAAATTCCAATAATATGATATAATATTTAAAAATTATTTATTTACACTTTTTTACAGTTCATTATGTAAGCTCACGTAATCCGTCTTCTGTTGAAGCCTCAAAGGGCATTGAATACAGTGGACTAGTCCTGTACATGTGCAGCTCATACGTCACTGCAGATTTCCTTAAACAATTCAAGTTTATAAATGGTAAGAGTTTAAAAATATTGGACTAACTCACAGATCACAGAAAGGTCTTTAACACGGTCGCTGCCAGGAATGTGAGTCCCAGGTCTGACAGGTTCACTCAGGGCCCCAAGGATGCGAGTTCAGCACCTGTCGAAACATACTATTATTGGCCATATTCGACTGGTCGTTCTTCATTAAACCACGCCCACCCGGTGCAGTGGTAACATCCTACTTAACGAAGACGATCAAACTTGTAAATACTCAACAAAACAAAATGGCTGCATAGTTACCGTGATACACGCTGTGTAACCAAGATTGCTTCACGCTTGTGGCAGTATGGGTTTTTCATTAAAAAAAAATATATTTTCATCTAGTTATTGAATTCTTTTAGCCTACAATTATTTTTTGACTTCATGTGGGTAAATATTATAATTTTTATTTTCTTAAATTTAATCTAAATTATATTAACGCAAATGATGTTTCTAAACTCACCAAGTTTGTTTTGGTCACGTGAATAACTTAAAGCTGATTAATGCATTCTGGTTTACGTTAATCTTCGTTGTCAATGAAGTCTATTTTACAAACTAGTCGAATAAAAATAATACTCAATGAAAATTCGTAGTCAACAAAATAAACCAGTCGAATACGCCCATTGTATTGCAGATAAACTTGCTGGCAGTGATCACCAGAACATGAACTCCCACCCTGAAGTTTCAGGGAAGAACCTGGAATTATTTCAATTTAATAGAGTATGTTGGTTCGCCTTTCGTTACAGTTAATGAGAACGATTTTGATGGTGGCCCAATTTATCCCTTGTTTTATGGATGGAACTAGGAAAAAAGTATTGACAGTCAACACACTTTCATGAGAACTGTTTCTTGATGATAAACTATCTTTCTTGATGATAAACTATCTTTAATTTGTCATCATTGCTTTGTTGTGTTGTTTTGTGTGCATTTATGCTAACCTTTCCTTATTGTTCAACCAACAGGTGCAAAACTTTGTCTAATAAGCCTGGACCGCAACACACTACGTCGTCTCGTCGTCAGATTGGACCTCGAAGATCAATGGCAATTCCGATTGCGAGATGAATTCCAGACAGCGAATGCACGTGAAGATCGACCAATCTTCCTACTTACAGGCATACATGCTGATTAAATTAGTTGAGGTTGGATGTTATACAAAATGAGGCTGAGATGAAGCTAATTTGCATATATGCAGCGTAATCTTGATATATATTTCCTGGTGAATTACAAGCTAATAACCAGCAACAGCATTTGTAGACTGTCTAATGTGTTTGACTGTTCACTTGCTTATTCTTGTTTCAAATATCTTGTTATCTTGCAGTTGTTAATTGGAAAACCTGTGAAGATTCAAAAATATCTAATTTGCATATCAGGAATTTGATCACTTAGTAATAACATCCAGCAATTCCATCAATTTCTGCTAAACCTAAGCCATGCAACGAGCAAAGGGGGAAGTTATTCTGTACATGCTGAGGTTGAATGCCTCTTAAAATCTTGTCACAACTTTTTGGTGACAACATTTTAAAATATATAACTGACAAAAAAATTTTTTGATAACATCAATGCTGGGCTGTACTTGTTGTTTCAGTTGATTTTGACATTGGAATTTCAGCAAATGTAATGTTTAACAGATTGGAAATTGCTCCATGAACATTTCAACTGACAAATCACTGCTGTTGGTGATTTGTATATCTGGCTGCTTGGACAATGATGACCCTTCTTGGTATTGCTTAATTTCTTTGGAGACAGAGTATTATTAGTATTATTATTAGCTTTGCATATTTATTTACATTCATGCTTTCGATAAGATTAATTTGCATACAGGTGTGCTTACCTGTGCAATATGTGTGTTACACATTTATGCTGTATTGTGTGAGGGTGTTATATTGCAGCTGACTGCCTCTGTGTGATAGGGCATCTGCACACATGCAACAATGGGATAATAACAGTAGTGTTACTCCTTCCATTACATGATGCATAATCATCTGCCTCTTTGTGAGGGCGCTATATTGCAGCTGACTTCCCCCATGTGGTGGGGTATCAACACACATGCAACAATAACATAATATAGCATTATACATAGTGCATAATACATTCAACATTTATTCACACTTAAAAGTCAGTGTGTAAATACATTTATATATATATTTATATAAACTATCTCTTTAAAATATTATACTAAAACATGTTTGAGTCGATTGAAGTTTTTATTGTAAATAGATGTACAATATGTGATAACCCACCCTCCAGCCTGGTAATGTTAAAATGTGTCTATTTTTCTTAGCTTTAACTGTTGGTGCTATATATTGAGTGAATTTAACTTTTGTTTTCCACTTATTAGAAGCTTGGTATATATGAACAAAACTCAAAAGTATGTTGTAATTGGATTTTACAAACAAGTTGTAACAAAAATGGTTTGTTTTGGAAAATGTAATAAATCTTTTGAAACATGTTATTAAGCTTTGGAAACATTGTTACCCAAACCTTAACATTTGGAAATGTTAGGAAAACATTTTTGGGGGAAACTGAGATGAATGTATCCAGTGATAAACATTGCCTTATTTATCTTCAATACCAATGTGGGGTTGACATAATTATATCAAAATGCTTAATATTATTAAACTGGATTATTAAAAAAATGTATTTTTTAAATTATGAATTTTGATTGCAGGAACTATTGGTAGTTAAGGTTCATAAAATTTACATTCCTTATTACGTTATGACATCAGTAGATCAATAAAATCTGGTAGTTGAATTCCAAAATTTTTAAATTTGTCATGTATACACTGGATATTTAAAATGATGTGCCCATAAGCACAATGAATAACATGTATGAAAAAACAATTTTTTAAAAACAGCCCACCTGTATTGGTATTGGTGTCGGATATTTTGTTCAAGTGTCTATTTCGTGAATACTTAACTGGATAAACCAACTAATTGACATTTAGGCGTCTCGTTTGAGACTCCTTCTTGGGGTGGTTTGTGGGGGGGGCCTGTGGGGGCCGCCAGCTCCTGCGCGTCCCGCTCATCCTGACGCCTAAATGGCAATTAGTCAGTTTATCCAGGTCAGTATCTCACTCATAGACTACCAACATTATGATTGATTTGTGTACTTTGAATCATGAAAACATGAACATTTTAAAGGAATAAAGCAATAGATACAATAATTGTTTTTTTTTTTTTTTGCCTTTTAGATTCTATTACATCAAAAAATATTAAGGATTTGAAAAGAATTCATGTAATGTAATTTGACTTGAATTTCGATATGAATAGAATTAAATTATCTATAAATAATTTTTTACGATTAATCGCATGTGGGTGGTCGGCTAGGGCAAGTTAGTCCAGACAAGATTTGTTTCCAAATATATTAACATTGTCTTTTATTATTATCATATGTATTATATTGGATAAACAGTTGTTGGGATGTGCTTATGAATCATGTTTAAGATTATAATAATCTGGATGGTTGCCCTGAGCCAGTTGTGTCAGGATTTGATTGCCTGAATATTGTGATCTGGACATTAGAAAATTATATTGTGGAATCTTACGTTACACCAATAGTTTCACTTTGGTTTTATTTACCTCAGAATGGATTTGGACATTAAAAGATCTAATAATAAACACATGATTTATTAATTAATAAGTAAATTATTTATCTTTTTAGCCTAGCTTGAATAGATTCATCTTAGTAAAGTTAGTACAAATTTATAATGTCCATTTATTTACAATGTAATATATTTTTGAAAGAATTTTGATACGGGTAAAATTATCAAATTAGATATGGTTGTTGTGTGGACACTTGCTCATTTTGTTATACACATTATTCCACAATTAACCATTTAATGTTGTGCTTTCCTAAATAACTCTTTCGTTTTTGTTCTTCCAGGGTGTAAATTTTTACATTATAAATGAATGAATGAATTACAGATTTTTTACACTGACTTGCACCTTTTTATATCAACTACTCTATTAGGCAAATGGAGTAGGTATGTTTCAATAAACTACTATATCAACTTTTATTGTTGGAGAAACCAAGGAATAATCTCTGTTGTTAATTGGTCATTATACCTGGACAAGTTCACAACATTTTTATTATGTAGAAATTCAGACAACTGGTGTATTTTCTGTAATAATAATATGTTTGTGATTTCAGTTTTTATATGTGTTTTTTTTTTGTTGAAAATCCTGTCACCTTTTTATATGAATATGTTTTTAAGTAAGCCTTGAAAACATGCTTTTAAATGATACATTTATTTTGCACAGTCTTCTAGATTCATATACAAAAGTATTATATAATATTGTTGTCATGCTGTAAACATTTTGCAGGTAAAAGTAATATGTATGATGTGTGTGTATGCAAGTTGGTGCTAGAATGAACAATATACATAAATTTACAGATATAGAATGATCGAAAAGTGACCAAACTGTATGTTAGATATAGATATTAGTACATTTAAGTTGTACATCAGACAATTTTTTCTCTTTGTTCTATTTTATCCATTGATAAAATATGAATTAATCGTTTTTGGTTTTTTTTTGTAAGGTCACCACGATCAAAGATATCAGTATTAAGTAAAACTGTTTGGCTAATATTATCATAAAACAAAAATGAGTGTATTTTATAACCAGTTTGTTTAAAATGTATAATAATGGTTTGTGCATACGTGTATACCCTGCGCATAAAAAAATGTGATTTAATTATGACAGAAATTGTATTCGCTGTCACATTTAACCACTTGGCGTAAAAATGTATGCATTGGATTAAATCTGATAGCAATTTAAATATGATTTTGTTGTATGTAAACAAGGTCATGTGTACAGTTTGTTTGTTCAAGGTCATCCTCACAAGGAAAGCTGCATATTTGTATGGTTTTGCAATTTAAATAATTGCTATGTGGGGTTATACAGCCTATTGTACTTGTGTATTTATTCTAAAGGAAAGGTAAATTTTTAATTATGAAAAATAGGAAATCTCATTTGGGTACAGTTGTTTATTGGACAAATTTTCTATTTGACAATCAATTTACTGTCTTGAGAAGACTTAAATCCTTTATATTTCATCACACAAATACAGCTCATATTTTTTTTTACAAAAGGAATATCAAGTTAATGAAAAGTTTCATAAGATGTTGGGGTATTTTTCTTGACTACTACTGTGTATTACTGCATTGAGGGCAGTATTAATCTCGTTCAAGTGTTTTCTATGAATTTTTTACTGCTATCATGTCTTGTAAATATAAAGCATTACAAAAATACACCCTCAAGTATTTAAGAATCTGCGAGCATTGTGTGCAGCTGAAAATTTGTTTTGTTGTTTCAATAATATGGTCAATTTAAAATTCATGTATGAATGGTGAATAAAGCAATTATACAAGTGTATAAACAGGGTAAAATATGATGCAAAGCCTTGTCTGATGTGAGTGTATGGCGAAAAAAAGCTGTCTGCCTTTTTTTTTTGTGAAAAGTTTTTTTTCTTGGTGCATATAAATATATTTCGAATATTAGGCAGCATTTTGCACATTCTTTTAATTCCGAGTGTGACGTAGTATTGTTACAGGATTTAAGACAGCCATGTTGCATAATCTTGAATAGCTGTTAATGGAGGTGTGCAACAATCATACAAGCCAGCTATTAGCTTTAATGAATTTGCTTCAAAATAGGTCTCCCTCCAATTAAAGACCACTTATGGGACTGGGATTTCCGTGGTCTTTAGAAGCTTTGGTTTCTAATTAGAATAATAAAAATAAGACATTTGTTAATTTTGGACCACAGAAATTAGGTCTTTAATTGGAGGTGGTCTATTATTGGAGGGGTCTTTAATTAGAGGAAGACTTGTATACTGTACACACTTTAACTTAACCACTTTGAATGTGGATGTTCCAAAAGTATGACCATACAGTATTACAATACAGTATTTGGGAAATATTTTTGATTATAAACAAATGGACAAAACCGGTGTGATTTGACACTTCTCCAAATATACATGAATATGTGAAGAAACTAATAAAGAACAAAGCTGCCATTATGCTAACATTTTTCATTGACTATTATGGATTTTTCATGGGACAGGCTGCCATCATTTGTAGGGGCAAATGTCTATTATTGAAATGTGTAATTTGCTGTACAACGAATTAAGTATTTTGCGGTTGCTGCATTATGTTCAGTCAGTAACTGTATAGTTTTGTTGATTTACATTAAAATGCGGATGTATTCGTTCTTTGAATTGTACAAGTGTTGGCCTGTTGAATGACTTTGGTGGATTAACATGAACACCAAGTAAATTTAGCAAAATCACAACTAAAAGACGAATTACCACATTTATAAGGAAACGTGTCATCTGAGGCAATTACTGTCTCAGGTGTCATGTAATAAAAACCTTTTTTTAGGGAGAAGCAGAATGTTCAAGATTGAATGCAACTAAGAATAACGATATACAATTTTTTTGTTATAAGAACCAGTAAAATTTTACCCAGTGAGTTCTTATTTTGTTGCTAATTTCAGGCTCAAACTTGTCTTACAGTATTTTGTTCTTATTTTACACACTTTTCAAACAGGGGTCGCACCAGTTGGGAGGGGGAACAACTACAATTCGTCAAGGAGAAAAAAAAATCGATTAAATAAGCCTTCGAAACTCCTAAATTAGTCATATTTTTCGGCTGATTCGCCCCCGTGGGACACTATCGAGAAATGTTGGGTGACGCCCGCTGTTTTATCGTCGGGGACATCTTCCCCCCCCCCCCCAACCCGTGTGGGAATCGTACCCCCGTCAGGCAAATCCTGGCCCCACCCCTGTTTTCAAACATCGAAACGTAAGTTTACAATTTATTACAACACCCAAATTACGATACAAATGTTAAACTAACTCCCTTCATGGACGACATTACTCTTGTTAATAGAAATAACTAATCATCGAATACTCGCAGGAAAATTTAATATCGGAGTTTGTGGGTTTATAGCTAATGCCGCCAAAATTCTGGCTTGTTGTCAATCATCTGATTGAATTCGCCTTCTTTTTATCGCTTGGCGATGACCTTGATCACGGAAACTTTTGAGAATTCATTATTTCTTCTGTAATAGATTCTGAAATCTTCAATTATCTTAATGCGATGATGGTTACTAATTATATATTGTCGATAGTGGTATATGCTATTCGTCCAGAAAACGCACATTATATTACTTCCTCTGTGATTTTACTGTATATCTAAATAATCTAAAAAATTGATACGGTACCTACTGGTAATCGATTACAATCGGTTTCGTCAAATGGGTTAATCAGAATTTTTCGACTAAGTTTTTGTTCTTGTGTCTGTGGCATAATTTGATCCGTTTAATCTCAAACTTACCGGTATGTTGCCACTGTGACCGTAATCACCTCTTTGTGAAGATATCTTTATTGTTTCAATTAGCATATCTATTTTACTGTACTTGTCTGTTGGAATGAAAAATAGAATTAAATGCAATATAAATCAATATGCTATACAATTATAAATCATTAACTAATGCGATAATCTAATTAATAGGCGTACGTAAAACATGGAAATAAACTTGGACAACATTCGATATTGTACAAGTTACAGTATTAGCTTTCAGTTGACAACACTTGTTTACCAAGTAGGCCTAGGATGGGAAACGCAAAAATCATCACTTCCAGTTCTATTATTTGCAAAGACCCAAAATGGCTGTTCGTTTTATTTGGATTATATGGAATCTGTGATTATATAATCTCTCAAATAATTCACCCCCAAATGCGTTGTGCATGGGCGCAGATCGTGGGGGACCCCACATTTTTAAGTGGGTTGGTCCCCTACTTTTCGAGCGTAATGTAATTTCGTGAGTCAAGAAAATTATTGAGTAATGGTAAAAATAATGAATTTTGTTTGGTCATATGAACAAATGTGTTAATAATCTAATCTACAGTAGTAAATCTATACATTTGTAAATCAAAATGTGATTCTGTCGACCATCGAATACAGGTTTAAATGAATCTGTAAAAAACAATTTACATTTCAAAAGAATATTTTGAAGTAATTGGGCATAAAGATTGTTTTATTTTCATAGTACATCACACAGATTAATTAAATCTCCATGATTGCTGAAAATAGGTAATAAAAGATAATGAGAAATTTGTTGGCGCTTCATTTTGACTATACTGGTGATAGGCCTATGTGATATTGATGAATTTTACTATCCAAGAGTGGCATTTCCGGCAATCTAGAGGTACTATTTCCTCAAAATGTCACCTCAGCCACAACCGTGGTTGGGCTGTGGTGGTTGGGGCTGCCGAGGTGGTGTGGACCGCCGGGACTCAAATGCATCAAAGACAATGTTTTTAAGTTTTATTTTCTATTGTACATCAACACAACACATCAACAGACTAATATACATTTCTCTATGATTTCATAAAATCGCCGCCGACAATTATAGATCATGTGAAATTGTTGCCGCTTCATTTTGACTATATTGATGACGTGGTGATGATGAATTTTACTATATAAGAGTGTCATTTCCGGCCATCTAGAGGTATCTTTCTTCAAATTTTCGCTGGGGTGTCCTGACTCATGACTGCCCCCACCTTTCAAAACAGATCTGCGCTCGTGTGATTATAACATCTCAAACTTAATGCATTCTTAGCATACGAAGCCGATCTGAATAAAGTATAAGATTTTAAGGGCAGAAATACACCCTAGCTAAATGGTGGATGGATGCCAGTGTTTAGTGGTGGTCTCCGAAGATTCTCTGTACTATAAAGCCTGAATTTCCAGGCACGTAGCATATCTTTGAAGGAAGCAGTGAATTACCGGCGGGCAAGGATGTACATTAAGTATGTACATATATGTATGTAACTGGTAACAATGTATTAGTTATTATTATCCGGCGATAGACAGTGCTATTTCAGATTTTAACTTGGAACTTTAAGTGGGCCTGCTGTAGAATACCAGGTAGGCCCTGTCAATTAAATCAATTAAATTAATGTTTAAATTCACTAAACAGTATTTGTCACTGAAATTCAAGTCGAAGTGCTTCTTCAAAGTTGTTGTATTATAATTGGAGCTTTTTGTTAATAAACTTCAATTAATTTTTTCGCTACTATTTGCGTTATGGTTTAATATGGTTTATTAATAATTGAACCGCTTCGAAAACTTTAGCATAAAAACACAGTATCTGCCCATTTATATAAATTGCTTGTAACCGGGAACCAATATGAAAAGACACACAATAGATGGCGCACCATACAATTTCTGTTGCAAAAAATTCTTGTTATGTCTTAGTCCGCGGTCGTAGAGACGGAGAGGAAAGGTAAATTTATTCAATATAATTACAGTATTCAAATTGTTCTCAAATACATAATTTCATCTACAATGATGATATTTCAGTGTGTGAATGAATGTTCTTTTAAAGTGTGATTGCTAAATGTTTAATATGACAAGCTCTACCAAGACAAGAAGGACTGCTCTCAGACTCAATCAAGATGCAGCAGCTAAGCAGTCGGCTTAGTAATTAAGTTGGCTATTATTAAATCAGAAATTCTTTCCTGTATAATAACAGTGTTTTTAGGCCCATATGGTACATATAAACATCTGTATACATAATAAGCAATTAGTAGAGCTCCGCATAGTACACTGTAGGAAAATTATTATACGAAGGTTGATTTAATGTTTGAAAAAATTTCTGAATGCATTAAAAATCTAACCTAAAGTATAATAATTTTCCGCTGGTGTACGATGCATGCTCTACTAATTGCTTTAAATCAATCGCCGCCGTCTTATAATGTTAGTTTTTATAACCAATTGTGTTGTACCAGTCCTCGGTTGCTATTGATATGATCATATACTGTGTGCGTATTTATATTTTGTGCGTATGCTGATTTGTGCTCCTGCAGCACTGTACTGTACGGATACGATGAATAACTAGGCTATTTTGTAATTTGTATTGTGTTAGAAAAACTTGTGTGTAATTTTTCACATTCGTCAAAGAAATAAACATTCTTCAAAGTATTCTAGAGAGAATACAGTCACTATCACTAACTTTTTGGTCGGTGCAGACAGGTAAAAATCTTGGGATGATTTCAAAACAAGTTAACGCTAGGGTATATGGTCTAAGCTAGTAGTAGGAGGAAGCTTCGACGGCCTGCTGCCTGGCCATAGGCCTACATCTAATCTTGTTCCTTGAGTCTTTAAAATAGGTCTAGAATATTCCTATTAAACGTTCATTTGTTTAGTTTATTAGGGTTCATTGATTCAAGGAATGCCTTAATTGTTCATATTGAATATTGAATTTGAAGTAACTTTCTTCGGGTTCTAATTAACCTTGTTTTACGAAAGTAATTTTCAATAACAATTCAAGTTTTATTGAGGTGCACGATATCTTTGCGGTGACGAAAAAAATTAGGATTTTTTTTTGCACACGAACCTAAAAAAATCAAGCCAAGCGTCCACTAATTGGAAAATTAGTGGATAGGCAAATAACATTGAGAGTCGCAGTGGTGACATCACAATTTACCTATAATTAATATTATGCATGTGATGGGAACACTCAGGTTGTTCAGATGGCTCAGCTGTAGCCAGCTATTGGGACAGTTGGGACAGTCCCACAAAATTTTTCTGTTGGGTCCAGATTTCTCATTTTATGTAAAATTGGTCAATTTTTAAGAAAAATGGGTGAAGAGTATCCATATTTTTGCGTAAAATGGGACAACTTTTCAGAAAATGGGTCCACATCATTTGAATTTACACATTAAAAGTGGTTCACTCTGATAAATTGTCTTACACAGTTTGAAAAAATTCTGGCTACGGCATGATTAAATCAATATTCTAGTTGTGCTAGTGCAGTAATGTCTTTTTCAAATATAGAATTGCTGGTGCTAATAATGCATTATATAGGCCTACTGTATTCCTATTTTAAATCTTCTAAAAACCATAATCATATTTCAAGTAGGCCTACTGTGTGTATTGTCTCATACAAAAACACACTTCATATGTTACTTGTTTTTCCATACTTACAAGTAAGACATTCATTATTTAAATTCAAAGTAATC